AGTCTAAGAGTCATCGTTAGGTTGTTTATTTGAGCTTGCTCTGTTTTCCTAATGTGGGCATTCAGTGTTATGAATTTTCCACATAGAACTGCTTTCATTGTGTCCCATAGATTCTTGTATGTTGTACTGGCATTTTCATTTATTTGTAAAAACTGTCTGATTTATTCTTTAATTTCCTCTGTGATCCATTGATTGTTCAGGAGAGTATTGTTCAATTTTCATGTGTTTGTGAAGTTCCTATGGTTTCTTATGCTATTGATCTCCAGCTTTAGTGCACTGTGATCTGATAATATACAGGGAATAACTTCAATTCTTTTGCATTTATTCAAACCTGTTCTGTGAGCTAGTATGTGGTCTATCTTGGAGAATGACCCATGTGCAGCTGAAAAGAATGTATATTCTGATTTTGTGGGGTGGAACACTCTATAGATATCTAATAAGTCCATGCGTTCTAAAACTTGGTTCAGTTCTAGTATTTCATTGTTGATTTTTTTGCCTAGTTGATCTGTCTATTTGTGATAGTGGGGTATTTAGATCCCCCACTACAATTGTATTAGTGGTTATTTGGTTTTTTATGTTACTTAATATTTGTTTTATATAGTTGGGGGCATTTATATTTGGTGCATATGTTTATGATTGTTGTTTCTTCCTCTTGGATTGCTCCCTTTATGTGGATGTAGTGGCCTTCTTTGTCTCTCTTAATCAGTTTTGGTTAGAAATTTGCTTTGTCTGCAAATAAGATTGCTACCCCTGCTTTTTTCTTGGCTCCTGTCGCATGGAGAATTGTTTTCCACTCTTTCACTTTCAGTCTATGGGCTTCTTTTTGCACTAGGTGTGTTTCTTGTATACAACATATTATTGGATTTTGCTTCTTAATCCATTCTGCCAATCTATTTCTCTTGATTGGTGAATTGAGGCCATTGACATTGATAGTTATAACATTGATAGTACTGACTTATTATTGTCATGTTATTGTCCTTTTGTTGACTCTTTTTATTTTTTGTCCTTTCCTTTTAGTTTCCTTCCTTGGCTATTTGATTTGCTCTGTTGGGCCTCATGGTGTCATGATCTTCATTGTCTTTTTCTAGGATATTGTTTAAAATGCTTTGTAGTGCTGGTTTAGTATTCATGAAGTTTCTCAAGTGTCCTTTGTCGTGGAAGTATCTTACTTCCCTGTCCATTTTGAAAGAGAGTTTTGCAGGATACATCAGTCTTGGTTGTAGTTTGTTTTCTTTTAGGACTTGAAATACTTCACTCCAGGCTCTCCTTGACCTGAGGGTTTGTGTTGAAAAGTCTGCTGTGATTCTGATGGGCTTTCCTTTGCATGTGATTTGTTTCTTTTCTCTTACTGCTTGTAGTATTTTGTTCTTCTGTTGGGTTTCTGGGATCTTGATTATTATATGTCTAGGTTGTAGAGTTTTTTTGATCGTGGCTAGTTGGTGTTCTATATGCCTTGCTTATCTATGTGTCTAATTCTTCCCCTCTGTTTGGGAAGTTTTCTGTCATTAATTCTTTGAACAGCTTTTTTAAATCATTTGCATTTTCTCCTGGTACTTCATGGATACCTATCAGTCTTATGTTATTCTTCTTTGCATCATCTAGGAGTTGTTGGATCGATTTCTCGTGCTCCCTTACTGTTTTTAAGAGACCTCTCTTTTCATGGTCACTGTCTGCTATCCTATCTTCTATATCTGAGATTCTATCTTCACAATCTTTTATTCTGTTGCCTACACTTTCATTAAGGTTTTTAATCTCCTGGATATCTGTTTGAATCTTTTGGATTCCATTTCTTTCCTATGTTGGGTGTTCATTGTTTCCATTTCTTTCTTATTTTGGGCCTTCATGGTTTCTATTATGTTCCTATTTTTTTTTTGTCTATATCTATTTTTTTTGTCCTTTTCTGTTCTGGAGTCTTGAATCATGTCTTTCATTTTGCTCGCCATGTCTATGGTTACCTGGGAAATTATTTCTGTTTTGAATTTTTCTAGAGCTTGATTGATTAGTTTTTTTACTTCCTGTGCTGTGAGTTCTGAGTGTCCTGGTGTTTCACTATCAGACTTTTCATCCTCCTTTGCCCTACTGTTTGCCATTGGTGGACCGGAAATCTGTTTTTGTGGCTTGCTTAAGTGTTTTCTCATCTTTATTTTTGCTGTTGTGTTGTCTTTGATTCAATTTCTGGGTCATTAAATCTTCCTGATATCGAAGCATCCCAATCTTTGATTCTCTAATGACTTACAGACATTCTTATTGTCATAGTTGAGAAAATAACTCATTAAATCAATCCCTATCCTTCATCCCTATCGATACAATCAGGACCATAATAGCATCAATCACCACCCTTTATAGCCCGCCATGCCTCTGCAGAGTGTGTCCAAGGATTGGCTCAATCAGGGGATCTAATAGCTGGGGGGGGCGGCGATGGTGCTCAGCGGCACCCACGTGGCTACCCTCCTGGCCCTGTGTCAGAGCCAATCAGTGGCGCCCCCTGGAAATGGTGCAGCTCCAGAGGAGGCCTGTAGTTTGGGCTGGGCTGAGCAACAGAGGTGGCTCTGAGTCCAAGCCAGGGTGATGACGCAAAACTCCAAATAATATTTCTTCTAATACTCGAACCTGTTATGGCTTGTGCCTGGATGTCCCCCCAAAGCCTCATGTGGTCATGGGTGGGGCTTTGGCAGAGGTGGCTGAATCTAGGGTGTGTGACACTAGGGTTGATTCATAGTGCAATGTTAGGATAAAGGAAATTTAGATTAAAGGTGGTGTGAGTGCTACCCACCCTAAGTAGCCTGGATAAGATAAAAGGAGCAGAAAAGCACTGTTCATGTGCCTTGCTTGCTTGCATTTGCTACCTCCTGTCCACTGCTATAAACAATTTCTCCTCTTTGATGCCCCTGGCATGTGTCACTCTGCCTTAGAGCCAGCCAACTATGGGCTGAAACTTCTGCAAACTGTGATGTAAATAAAACCTTTCCATCTTTAAATTTGGGTGTCGGGTATTTTGTCTCAGCAATGAGAGCAAAATAACTAAGATAGAGCCTGTCATTGTTTAAATGTTTAAGATTATTAATATAAGTGAATGTAAAGGAAAAGTGAATATGGCCAAGTACAAATCCACTCTCTCACTCATTCATCAGTTATTCAAAAACTATGTGCTCAGGGAGCTTCCTGGATGATAGGCTGTCTCTGGCCTTCTGGATCCTGAGAGGATGCCCTGCAAAGGTGTGGGCGATATAGAGCAGCCACTGGATAGAGAGGTAGGCCTTCTTGCTGCTGTCCCATGGATTTTGCTACTTACATTAGAGAAATTGTTGTGCTCTGAAAAAGCAGGATCAATTGTGAAGGAGTCAAAGTGGAAATAGGATTTGCTAAGGTTTCATGAAGGGGCTGCAAAAAAACATAACTACATGACTTGGAGGGCTGACCCTCTCATGTCTCCTAATGTCCCAGATTTCATCAGATCAAAGTTCTGTGCTCCATAATCTTGCTCTGTAGCTATGTTATCACCAAACGCACTCTACAAATTCCCAACACTCTCCTTCCCTTGGAGGACAATGGTCTTCTGAGTCCATCTTCAAAACTACTGATACCTTTTTCCTCCAACTGTATGGTAGCTCTCTTTGTTTTCTTAGTCCTGTAGGATCCAAAGGACTTCTGGTATGAAATTACAATGAGAAAAGTGGTAGCTTGAGAGCCTATAATCAGACGATGTGTTTTTAAAATTATATTTGATAGCCTGAGATGGGAGGGAGAAAGAGAAGGGGAAGTAGAAAGGATCAAGATGCAATAAGGTATATGTACCTCACATTGAATGTATATACTATGTTTCACAAACATACACTGATAAAAAATTAAGGAAAGTAAAATAAAAATGGATTCGAACTAAGGATTTGATTATACAAAAAAATCTTAGGGCAAATATTTGAAAGTGCTATACCTATAGGCAAAAATTAAGTATCAGTGAATTGGTCTAACATTGCACTGACTTTCAGCTTCTAAGCTTGCCACAGGAATGGAAGCTATCTTTATTCACAAAGTCAACAGCTTTGTATCTTGAAGGGCAGTGGCTTAGGATCTCCATGTGGTGGATCACATGGTGGATGAACACTAGTCCCCAGTTATTCTGCGTAACACAGATTGCCTGCTGCTCAGAGGCAGGGACATATGGAAAGTCCAATTCAGAGAAGACAGATGCCCTGAGTATACTCAGCATAAAAACTGTAGGAGGCCGGGAGTAGGAAACCTTCAGGTGCATCCACAATACTCATCTTACCATTGATTTGTATATTTCTGCCTGGTTATAATCTTTGGTAACAAATTGTGATCTTTTGTTACTGATTAGATTTTCCCATTCTTTCCAAGCACAAATTCCCATAGTCTGTCCTGCTGAGGTTATGGCAATTCTTTCCTCACAGAGTCCAGTGTTGAAGGAAGCCAGGAGCCCCCACAAATGCGTGGACAAGAGACAGAGGTGTACTTGGCCTAATGCTTCAGTAAGGCCTCATTATCAGACTTGGTAGCTTGGCACCAATTCAGAATTTAGTCAGTTAACAAAAGTGTACAATATGGATAACAATCCCAAGTCTTTTTAAAAGATTGAACTTTCATAAAGTGTGTCCATCATTAAGCATGTGTTTATTCTTATGGGATCTCTGGAACCCCCAAATCTAAGTTCCATAGATACCAAAGGAAGCCCTAGGAGAAGTAAAGCATATTTTGAATTGTAGTTATTCACAGAGCACGGTTTGTGGTTTTGCAATGACATCCCAGATAGTAGATGCTGTTCATTTGACTATATAAAAAATTGAAAGATGATCCCCTGCAAGGAAAATTTTTCAATGACAAGGACATAGATATTGAACTTTTCATTAAATCCATTCTTATACTTCTGGTCCCTTAGGAATAAAAGCATTCAGTCATTTCTTTTTTTAATAAAATGTCTCACATTAGCTTTGTGGCTGATTTTGTACATTTTCTATCTTTCCATTGTCCCTATAACTGGTCAGACAAGCATGGCGGAGAGCACTTCCTGTACCAGGGCGAGTGTCGAGAGAGCTGCCCAGTGGGCCTTGCCCCTGCCGAGGGGCACATCTGCCTGCCCTGCCCAGACAACTGTGAGCTTTGCCACAACCCACACGTCTGCACCAGGTGCATGAATGGCTACATCCTAGGACCCACCAACCATACTTGCCAGAAGCTAGAATGTGGGCAAGGTGAGGCTGCTCTGGGCTGGCCCAGGATAGGGAGGTGGGGAGAGCAGCTGTGCCTACCCCTGGACTTCCTGGAGACCAGGCTTAACCTGTCTGGGCTTAACCTGGAACCTTCAGACAACTGGATGACTCCTTAGCTTCCCCTGCCTCTTCCCATGCATCTTCTCCCTGGCTTCCCCAGATGCAATCCAGGATCCTAGGAGCACAGCTTTTTGTCTTCACTGGGAGATGTGTGGAGCAGATACGGTGGGGAGAAAATTAGATTCGTATCTGAAAGTCATGTCCGATAGTTTTTTCCTTCCCAATTACTGCATATGGAGCAAGACTAATCTATTTTCTCTCTGCCTTGGTTTCTTCATTTATGAAAGGGAGAGCATAGCAGCACCAAGATGGAGTCACTGTTATAAACCAGTGAAAACAAGCTTCCTCAAAAACATTAAGATAGTCTAATTGTCTGTGTTATTGGCTTTGCCCAATTTTTATCTAATATGGAAGAGGGAAATTAAAAAACAGCACTTAGAATTCTCTCTCTCTCTCTGTGCAGAAATGCTACAGACTATTGCTCTGCTCTGTATAAGAATTATGCCTGGTCTGGTGCTCAAGAAAGCTCCAAGATGTTTTTAGAATAAAAACATTCTATTTCTCTTTAATGTTAAGAAACATAATAAAAGAGTTTAAATTTTTTTTTAATGTTTTGGTAGGACAGATGAAAAGAGATATGGAGCCTGTTCATTTATATACACAATTGTATTTTCCCAGAAGCAGAATTGATTTCTTTAACAAAATCTACCAGCATGACTTCTAAAGTAGTTCCAGGGAATATGGTCCAATTTTATTCTATTTATACCCAATCAAGCTAATCCAATTTATTAAATTGATAGAACATGATAAAGAGGTAAATGACATGTATATCCTCAAGGATGATTTTGGTTGCATAGTTGCTCTATGATTTAAAAATAAGCTACACACCAATATATTCTCCTAACAATCGATGTGTCTCCACTTAATGGAAATAAGGTGCTTTTCATTCCTCTCCCTGCTCAGGTGAAGTCCAAGATTCAGACTACGAGGAGTGCTTGCCTTGTGAGGAAGGCTGTCTGGGGTGCAGCTCAGGTATGTCACCTTCCTTTGTTGCTTGAAGATGTGAAATGTCTTTTTTTCATGTATCTTCATTCTGCCGTTGCTCCGGAGAGATCTCTTGTCCTTGTCTTCATCGTTGCTACCATTAACTAGGCTCACTCCAATAGAGTCGTGGTGAGGGAATGCTTGCTTCTGCAGTGAGAGTAGGGGATGGGGGGACTTTCCAGCTGTTAGCTCATTGGCAAAGAAACCTCTCAGAAGCCATGTCTCAAGGTGCCTGAGACTCAGCCACTTCTTAGCTTCTCAAAGCGACAAATTTTGAAGATGAACAACGAATAAATGTAAGCAAAGAAATTTCTTAGTACTCTAACTCATTTCTTTAAAACACAAAAGCTTTGGGTAGAGAGATGAGGAAGTGTTCCTCTGTTGCCCGGACCCGAAAATAATCCTTAGAGAGCAATGCGCAATGGTGACCACGGCACTGAGATCTCCTTCACGCAGTAAAAAGCATTAATTCTTCATTTCAAATCAGCACCTCCTACCTTCTCTCCCTCTCACTAGCTGTGGTAGAAGAGGTGGTGGGAACTGTGTGTGACACATAGCATCACTGAATTGGATGCAAAATAGGGATGTGACCAAATTTCAAGTCACATTTTGAGTAAGTTCAGGCAAGATATAGAAAGTAGTATATAGAAGGGCTGGAAATTAGCCCAGTAGTAGAGCAGTTACCTAGCACGTGTGAGGCTCTGAGGGAGGAAGGAACTAGTTTAAAGGATCTTTGGAAGGAACCCCCACTGAAGATTCATAGAATAATTCACTTTCTCTTCATGAAACCTCTGTAAAGGCCTAAAATGCTTCTAAAACTTTAATACACTTACAAATCATGTGCAGGACTTGTTATCCTGCAGCTTCTAATTCATCAGTTTAAGGTAAGTTTGTGAATTTGTGTTTAAAAAGCTGCCCAATGAAGTCAAACCACTTATAGAATGGCAAGGGGTTAGTTGAGCTGGAATGAAGTAATCTTTTTACTGGCTCTGTGTGTGTGTGTGTGTGTGTGTGTGTGTGTGTGTGTGTGTTTGTGATCCTTTTAAGAATTAAGAAAATCTACTAGGCAAGGACTTAATAGTATCCATTAATTTATCTAATGCCTGTTAGCATATTTCCTTGCCTTAAATGGAAAAGGTCTATTTTTTATAATATCTGCAACTACAAAATAGAGTTTCTAGAAACTTGAATGCCATTCTTTCATTATTTTCCACTATGAGATGTGGCTCATACTATAGAAAGTAAACTATAATAATAAAATGATCCTCAGAGTAGATTTAATGGTAAAAGGCTAATCATCTAGGAATCAAATGTACTAAAGTACTAAAATAAAAATATGAACAATTTCTTTATGAGTAGTTTTATTATGTATTATATGCCATTAGATATATATCATTTTTGCTTATATATGCACACAAGCAGACCCCAGTGCCTCTTGTTAGGTGACTGATGATGTTTCTGGAGCAGTCAATGCTGTTTTTGCCATTATGAATTCACTTTTTGTCTTTTCAGGCCCTGTTTTCCCTTTTTCATATTCTCTGGTCTGTGTTTAACTTATTCAGTCATGAACTTGTGTCACTGCCATCACTGAACCTCTGAGAGCCAGGACAGCAGAAATCTTGAGGTTAAGATCTCTCTCTCTCTCACACACACACACACACACACACACACCCTACACGGACACCTCCAGCTGCACAAAGATGCTAGCACAGACAGACAACACACAACAGTAAAATGCAAAAGCAAACCAACCAAGTGAGCTGACTTGATTCACTTGACAAAGTGCTATTGAAAAGTCTGGCCATTCATGCCTTCACACTTTGCCAAGGCTGGGAACTCACAGGGGACACCACGGGGTCCTGTCTGTCATGAGCAGCATCCATGGAATGCAGTCTGTCCTGAGGCTGAGTACAGAACTGCACTGGGGCCGCCCAACCCCTGAGCTAAATCCCTAGCCCATGACAAGAGCTTTCTAAGTGACGCCAATTTTCATATCTTAAATTCTAAAATTTGTCTTACTTTATAAAGGCTGTATTTACTGGGCCTTGTGTATTCATGGAATGACTCAGTTAAACTCATTTATGATCTTATTTCTGAATCCTCTCATAGAACAGATTCTTCTATTTCCCTTTATTTGTAGACTCCTGATAACATTTCTTATTGCTGACTGGTAAGGTATTTGTCTTTCTGCCTAGACACTAAATGACTTACTTGGGAATAAGCTCTGGGACTTAAGCACTGTGCTCCCACAAGAACTAGGAGTGTATCCAGGACATAATAATTGAACAACTAATGTACAGTGTCCCTAACTTATGATGGCTTGATTTATAAAACTTTGAATTTACCATGGTGTAAAAGCAGTTCACATTCAATAGAAACTAAGCAAGCTCAAGAGTTTGAAGTTTGATCTTTTCCTGGCTAGCAATATGTAGAACAGAATTCTCTCATGATGCGGGACAGCAGCAGCAAACCACAGTTCCCAGCCAGGCACACAATCACTAGGGTAATTAACCAACCCTGTACAGTGTTCTGTTTTGCCAACATTTTTGGGTACAAGTATTCAACAAATTATATGAGATATTCAACACTTTACTGTAAAATAATCCTTTTGTTGATCATTTTTCTCAAACTGTAAGGCATTCTGAGCATGTTTAAATTGGGCTAAGCTATGATATTTACAGGTTAGGAATATTAAATGCATTTTCAACTTAGCAGTATTTTAAATTTAAGATGTGTTTATCAGGATATAACCCCACTATAAGTAAAGGAGACCTGTATAGATGTTAATCAGATTGAATGTGAAAGTTGCCCAAACTGAAAACAGAGATAGAAACTTAGATTTGATGTTTTCTCTAATCAAACTTTATATATGGTCCAAGAAGAAAAGAAATCATGCAATACAACACAAGCGATTTTTTTCATGGAATATTAAAACTATAAGAAAGATTTGAGGAAAACATGACTTATTAAATTTTATAATGTTAATAAGAATATGAATTTTAAAAGCAGTGAATAATTTACTGTAGATTTTCCCGAGATTCTTCTTTTGAAACAAAAACATCACTATTTAGAGACAACTTAGTTTTTTTCTGTCTTAATAATATAGGTTCTTCTTTGGACTGGGTCTAAATGATCTCCAGAGGCTTAGAAAAAAGTAGAATCAGTCACTTTGAGACTGATTTTATTTATACTATGTAGTAAATACTTGTGGGGAACACTGGATATATTTCCCAAGTTTCATATTCTTTGCAGATACTTAATAGACTTTAGATTAATATCTAGCTTTTATAATTAAAAAAGAAAAACTCAAGCTCCAAATTGACAGGCAACTCCTTAACTTCTGGATTGAACTATGTCAATCCAAAGAAAGATTTTTCAGAAAAGAGACAGAAAACCAAACCCATAGCCAAAAAATGAGTGTTTTGTCTAGAAGAAGATATTGAATTTGATAGTCCAGGATGAAACAAGGGCATTTTTTCTTATTATGGAGTTAGATTTCTTTTCTTTATCAGGCTGTAAACAAACAGATTTTATATAACATCATTGTGCTCCAAGAGTACCTGATGCCTATTCTTTCTTTCTAATCAGTGCCTTGAATGGAAAGCTTAACAAAGATCTAAGTGTTCTGAGTTCTATTTCTTCAATAATTGAGAGGCAAATGTACTAATTTTACCTATTTTTTTCAGTATGGGAGATTGAACCCAGGACTCTCACAATGGGATACATCGCTAGTCCCTTTTTAACTTTTTAAATTTTGAGACAGGGTCTAGCTAAGTTGCTTCGTTGCCCAGCCTGGACTCAAAGTTGTGATGCTCTTGCCGGAGTCTCCCAGAGTACTGGGATTATAGGTGTGCACTCTCCTGGATGAGGCTCAGACAGACAGAGACAGAAGCAAAAAAAAAAAAAAAAAAACCAGAGAGAGGCTGGGATGCGCCTCAGGGGTAGAGCTTAGTGGGAAGATCCTAGGTTCAATCCCCAGGAATGCAAAAAAAGAAAAAAGAGAGAGAAAGAGAGTGTTTTTGAAGGAGATGAATTTGGTTGTGATTCAGTTCCTCTAGAGAACCCTAATGCAGCTGCTGTGCTGGCTAATGTGATACCAGCAAACTGTGAAGCAAGAAATAAGTTTTTAAAAAATAATATGAAACGAATGACCTTAAAATGTAAGAAAAGATGCTCACTTGTTACCTGGGGAGTGCATCCTAAACCTTCCTTGAGAGACTATTTCTCATCTATCGGATTGGCAAAAATGTCAGTTTACCAGCTCTGTTTATAAGTCTGCAGGGAAACACTCTTACTCATCTCTTGTGTGAAGACAGTGGTAGAACCAACATCACTGCAGGAAATTTGGTGGTAGGTATCACAATCCATCTGCATTTACCCTTTGAGCCCACAGCAACTCTTCTAGCATTTTCCCCTGAGGAGACAGCCACAGGGTGCAAGACACACGCAGCTCCTGCTTATCCAAAGGGATGAGGCCTGAGGCCTGCAAGAGGATGTCTGAAACCGGGCATAATGCAAAACTCTAAAATCTAATGCTTTTTCTGGGTTAAGCCTTTATCACGTACTATGGCTATAACTTTATAATTTATAGGATTATGGAATTGATAATGTGGTTGGGTCGATGTAATCCCACTGCTTAAGAGATGCAGGAGAGGGCTGGGGATTTGGCTCAGTGGTTCCGCCACCTGCCTGGCAACTGCAAGGACCAGAGTTCGATTCCCTGGTAACAAAAATACATAAATAAAGTAAAATTTTAAAAATTAAAAAGTAGTTTAAAAAGAGAGAGATGCAGGAGTGTGTGAGAAAGTACCTGGGGAGGAGCTCTCGTGTCACGATGTCTACAACCCATTCCAAGTAGTTCAGGAGAAAAAGGTGAATCATATAAAATATATCTGTCTATTTTCCCAGTCTTTCCATAAGCTTGAAAGTGAAAAAATTGAAAAAGAAAAAAGAGTTTCAAAAGCACTCGGTGCTCTCAGCTGAGAAAG